AAGAGAAGTAGAGGATCAACACTGAGTCATGGACAATGAAACACTGTTTGAACGGGCGCCACTATAGCGAGCCCATGGTCCATGTCAATCCATTCCACTTGAAATAACACCCGTCACCTTGATTGCCTTATCCTGTCCCTAACCCTAACCCTAACCCTAACCTTACCCTAACCTTAACCCTGGCCTTACTTTAACCCTAACCCTAAGCCTAATAACCCTAACTCTAACGGACTAACCCTAACCCTAAACTTAGCCCTTATAACCCAGACCTACAAATACAATTAGACTGGGATATATGTAATTGTTTGAACATGCTTTCAATTGCATTTTAATTTGGATTTTTGATGCTTATAAGTTGTAATTTTATTGTCCCTTTGAACTTTGAAGTAAATTTAAACTTTCACATTTCACATTTCAAGTAGATCCAACGAAAACCGCTTCCACTGTACTACACACTAAATAAATCTCTTGCTTTGCGCTTCAATTTTTGTAATTATTGTGAAAAGGCTGGATGATGATTAATCACTCTACACTCGACTGTCACGTGACTTTTTCAACCCGTTCTCTAGCTAGTTCTGAACGACTTTTCGAAACCCTAACCCTCTAATCTGATCCAACCCTAACCCTAACCCAATCCTTAACAAAAACATATGCTGAAACCCTAACCCTAACGAGAAATTAGACTAACTTCCTTATATGGTCATATCACGTGATCGATACAGTTTTTCGCCAATATCTCGTCAGGGGAGCATTTTAACCCTATGTCATGGGGGGTGATTCGGAATCAGCGTCCGAAAATACATCGATTGAAGTGGGTTACAACCGTCGGGGGCCCTTTTAGAACAATCTCGAAGATCGACTGTAGAGTGATTTAGCACGCTCGGAAAAGGCTTTAATATGAGGGTATGAAAGTGTTTCATTTCAATGTATTTTTGGACGCTGATTCCGAATCACCCCCATGACGTAGGGTAAAAATGCTTCCCTGTATGATAATCAAGAGTAATTGTGTATCAGTATAGGCAAACAACTGTTTTGGTAACGTGACACGCTAGATAAACACGAATTCGATTGTTTTATTTAGGGCTCAGGTTTCTAGCTAGCTGCTGGCCCTGAATGACTATTTGAAACACTGACTCTAGTCTGATCTCTAATCTGATTCCAACCCTTACCATAACCCAATCTTGAACATTTAACGAAAGCATATAAAATATACTAAAATCCTAACCCTAACGTAAACGAGAAATTATATCAACTTAGCTTCTTTATTATATTGCTTATACAGTTGATTCACGATGTCAATCCTTCGCATCTCGCCGATCTGCATACGTGGTTGCGAGAAGCATTATTGGATGCGCGCGCGCGACCCAGTAGTGCATCGCGCTACAACTTATACAGTCATATCACGTGATCGAGACAGTTTTTTGCCAATATCTTGCCTTGTATCACGTCGTGAACTCCATTGCCATTTCACTAATATCGTGGCCACGATATAGCCGCGCACACATGGTGGATGATACCAGGTTTTCGATCAAACGCTGCCATTTGTACATTGTAGTCAGACGTCGCTTAATTGAATTGTATGGATGATTGATGATGATTAATCACTCTACACTCGACTGTCACGTGACTTTTTTATCCCGTTCTCTAGCTGGTTCTGAACGACTTTTCGAAACCCTAACCCTCTAATCTGATCCCAACCCTAACCCTAACCCAATCCTTAACAAAAACATATGCTAAAACCCTAACCCTAACGAGAAATTAGACTAACTTCCTTATACGGTCATATCACGTGATCGATACAGGTTTTCGCCAATATCTCGTCAGGAGAGAATTTTAACCCTATGTCATGGGGGTGATTCGGAATCAGCGTCCGAAAATACATCGATTGAAGTTGGTTACAACCATTGGGGGCCCTTTTAGAACAATCTCGAAGATCGACTGTAGAGTGATTTAGCACGCTCGGAATTGTATCACGTCGTGACCCCAATTGTCGTTTCACTATAAAGTTTCTACGATACAGGGGATCAGTTACCTGGGGATCTCAGGCTATCAGTATCATGTTCATAGGCAGTGCACCATCGACAATAAGACGCGCGCGCTGACCATTGAATGGTTTTTTAGCTCTTATTTCGGCCAGCACATTATTTTGGAGACAATCGAAAAGTTATAATACTTCCCATATAACAATTTTGTTGAAATTTGGTCAGCTTACGTAAACACTTATGTTTTACTGAACCTAATTTAGTTTGAGCAATTTCGATGCTCAGAATTTGAGTTATCAACGAATTTATACCTATTTTGTCATTTTTAGACCTCTTAACCAAGGCCAATCTCTCCCAACTAAATTAGGTTCGGTAGTTAAGTATGATTGGAAGGTTCTGACAACTTTTCAGCATGATTCATGTTTAGGAACCGAAGATATGACAGAATAATAGGATAAAAATCAACGAATTTCGTCAAATTACGCGACTTTTATACCTAATTTTGCTCCAAAAGCCGCGCACCATCCAATATGGCACCTAGGCGAAACTCACTGATCACTCAAAAAGGTATAATAAATTTGGTACTGTGAAAATTCTTACAGTCTTTAGAAACGGCCAGGTAGCGCAGTCGGTTAGCCAGCTTTGCAATCGTGAGGTTGCGGGTTCAAATCCCACTGCCTGCCTGGTCGTGGGGTGAGTGTTGTTGACATTCAGCTAAGGATCGTGAGTGGTCTATGCAGCCCCCCGGTCTACTCAGCCGAATACTCGAGAAATCGGGTGTGAGGGTTAAATGAGGAGGCCCTCTTCCTAAAAATGACACTTTGGATTATGATAAAGATGTTATTAGTGATTTGCAAGTTAGCAGTGTTGATATTAAGAAGCAACTTTTAAAGCTTAATATTTTTAAGAGTTCAGGTCCGGATGGTGTTCATCCAAAGTTATTAAAATCGTTAGCTTATGATGACAACTTTGTAGAAGCAGTCACTAAATTATTTAAAATATGTTCAGAAACGGGATCTCTTCCTGAGGTGTGGAAGTCAGCATCCGTTGTAGCATTGTTTAAAAAGGGTGTTAAATCAGATCCCTTAAACTATAGACCAGTTTCCTTAACTTGTATTTTGTGCAAAGTGTACGAAAAGTTGGTGAGGGCACATTTATTGGATTTTTTAGAAGAACGAATATCAAAGCATCAGCATGGATTTGTTAAGGGCAAATCTTGCTTATCTAATCTTTTAGAGACATTTGATAATATTCTTGATATTTTAGATGAAGGTGATCCTGTTGATCTACTGTATTTTGATTTTAGTAAGGCCTTTGACACTGTCCCCCACTTTAGACTTTTATCTAAATTGGAGGGGTTTGGGGTCAAAGGAAAAGTTTTAGATGTTATTAAAGATTTTCTTACAGACAGAACCATGAGGGTTTGTGTAGAAGGACAATGGTCTGAGGTGAAACACGTGTTATCTGGTGTTCCCCAGGGGTCAGTATTGGGTCCTTTGCTATTTATTCTTTATATTAATGATTTACCTGATATAGTCAAGAATAAGATTAAATTATTTGCAGATGACCTCAAGTTGATTGGTAATGCAGCTAACCACAGCAGTGTTGCTGAAGATATTGTAGAACTGGAAGTCTGGGAGAGTATTTGGCTTTTGAAGTTTAATCCTGCTAAATGTAAAGTTGTTCATATTAATCTTAATAGCAACCCTAACTTAAATTATTTAGTAAATGGCGTAGAACTTGAAGTATCTGATCAGGAAAAAGATTTGGGGGTTATTACCCATAGTTCCCTGCTTTGGAATGAACAGATAAAAGCATGTATTTCCAAGGCAAATCGAATGATTTGCTGGATTGTAAGGAATTTGATAATTAGAGAAAAATGTGTAATGATAGCCATCTATAAAGCTTTGATAAGACCTCCCCAGGATGCAAGAGGAATATTCAAAACAATGTAAATTTTGAACTATCGCGAAAAGTCATATTTTAAGCCTTATAAAACTGCGCAGTTTTAACTTTGCGGATTCTTGTTCTCTGATTGGCTGAATCGTATCACGTGGTACGTGGTGAAATTGCATTCTTGGAATAATTGAAGCGTGCAAATGCAATGAACTAACGAGCGCGCGCAGAATTCAACAAGCCTTGAAGAGGCGATCACCTGTAGTAATATCGCCAGCCAGTAAGGTCTGCTGGGTAGTAGGCGAAACCGGAAACTCACTGATGTCCAAAAAGGTATGACAAATTTGGTACTGTGAAAATTCTCACAGTCTCTAGAAAATAATGGTACAACAATTTTAAGAATCCGATCAAGTTTATTTTTATCGTGCATACCCTAATCGCGCGCGTCCTGGTACGTTATAAACCTACAATTCGATATTTTTCTGAACATGATAGCCTAAGGTCCCCAGGTATTATCATAAGGTTAATACCTTAAAAATAAATAGAATAAATAAAAGTCAGGGGAACATAGTATGTAACGTTGATACCAAACCAATTATTAAGCGATGGTGACTGAGTTGTTGATTCCTGGGTTGCAGAGTTCTCCTGTTTCCTCAGTCTTTGATGTAGTTTGTGTTCTTGTTCAGTTCTGTCCATATGTTATGATCAAAGTTTTGGAGTGTCATTTTGTCCTCAAATTATTTGTTATATATAACATTAATTTATTAATACTTTCAATACTACTATATATAGTAGTATTGAAAGTATTAAAACTATCTCGCTTTATATAGGAAGATGACAACTCTGATACTGCTTTATTACTGCCAGACCAGTGACCACACAAAACTTGCTGTTTAGTGTTTGGTGTGAGCTATAGCGCATTTGAAGCACTGATTGTCTAGTCCTAGGTTTCATGACAGTTACTATACCTTTAATTGAGCTAGTGACTCTATCATAATAATAACATCTATAATATTTTTCTGATGTATAGCTAATTTTTTCTATCTCAATAGCAACATCTACACTTTTCTGATGTTTTGCTAATAAAATCAAATCAAGAATAATAATAATAATAATTTAAAAACCGATATTAAGGAAATACCTCCATGGTGAAACACAAAGTATATGTAGACAACAATGGTACAACACCCTTGAGTGAGGAAGTTTGTGCATTGATAAGCAAGACTCTCAGATCCGGCTGGGCTAATCCTAGTTCCCGAAGTGATGATGCTGATGTGGTGAGTTTGTTGTTTTATTCGCCTGATCATGATTTAAGACCCGCCCTGTGCAGGTGCTTAAGAGGAAATTTTTAGGGGCAGGATACTAAACTCCGAGGAAATTTAAAACTTTCTGGATGTGTGATGTAGGAATTAAACCAATAACTTGTGTACAGGGTGTGGGTTGTGTGCATGATATTCGATTTATATCTAACTTCTGATGGATCAGAGTGTTGACTTTTCAGCTGTTATTCTGTTTTTTAATCATACCTTTCCATCAATTAATTATGTTACAGGCTGCCCAGCTTATCAAGGAATCACGTGAAAGAATCAGCAAAGTGATCAATTGTGGCGAGGACGAAATTACTTTCATGTCAGGTCAGTTCATTACCATTTCGATAATTGTATAATACTGTTATTTAGTGCTCATCTTAGTAGACTAAGATTTTCCTACTATAGTACAAACTATCATGATACGACCTCTCCATATACTGGGTCTTTCGCGAGAGAAACGAGAAGTGTACGGTATAGAAACACCCCAGTATAAAGCGTTTCATATACCGCATTAAGGGCCATATAATATACATTATACACGTATTGTGTTGTATTGTGATTGAATACAACTCGATATGTACTTGCATCACCCACCAAATGCGAACAAGACGTTCAGATGTTTACCTTGCTGACACATTTTTACGCTCATTGGAACGTGAATTTTGTGGGGATCTACTTATCGACTCTGGAGATGCACTTAACTGGTTAGACGGCATCAACAGTTCATTTGATCACAATACTAAACGCCGGCTCAGAAGCTTTGCTTTTGACTACAAGGCATTATATGATTCTCTTAAACCCGATTTGGCAATGGAAGCCCTAACTGTTGCTATGACTGAATGTCGAACGGAATGGAGTGAGGAGTTCAAACAATGGATCCTTGCCCTCGTAGACCTCAGCTTCAGAGCTTCTATTGGCCGCATCTTTGCGGAGAAGACTCCTCAACCCACAATTGCACGCAGAGGATAACACTGTAACAAAAACAGAACCTTGCCATCAAAGAAATTGTAAGTGTTGTGCAATGATAGGAAGTGAAAAGTGTTATTGTATTAATGGAGTCAAGATAAGACAAGCTCCAGGGACCTGTTCTAGCTACAACATAGTCTATATATTCATTTGTAAATTATGTCCATCTCCTTTCTGCTATGTTGGACGTACCATTAGGACTTTGCATGAAAGAGTAACCGAACATAGAGCTAACTATTATAAATTATTGAAAGACCCTTCCTTAAAACATAGTGATGATTTTTTATCTGATGATAGTGACACTTACAGTTTAGCAGCTCACCTAATAGACTCACATAACCTTTCCAATAGACCTGATTTTGATGCTTCTTATAATGTTTTTATCCTAAAGAATTCTAGTCCTAGTAATTTAGAAGTTAACGAACATCTACTTATACAAAAACTCAGAACTTTGAAACCATATGGTATTAATTCATGTGATCCTTTTGGTATGCCACTTTTATTTGAAAATAAAACTTTTGATAATGGTCCTTAAATTATTTCACCCTTAATGCAGGGACTAGTATATTTTTTCCGACTAGTTGGGGCCTCACAACCCCCCATACCCGAGTGCTTCCCATTCCATTTTTGAGAGTTTGGCTTCTTTTTACAGCTAACATCCTTTAGTTCAATTTAAAATTTTCTGATATAATTGGAGTATTAACCCTTATCTTTATTAGGTACTGAAGATGTCCGAAAATGTTTTACCAATGATGTTATAAAGATTTTGTTGGAATTTTTAAACTCATTCGTTGTCTGACTGTGGGAACTATTGATTCTTGAAATGCGATATGAACTATGATAAATCACATTTCTTGCACAAATCGGTTTGATTGTTGAGGAAAAGAAGAGGTCTGGTAATCCAGGTAGGCCGGTTTAGATTAGCACAATTGACGGTACAGAGTGGTTTTATTTATTACAAATGTGATTATCTTAACCCCACTGATTCATCATTAAAATTAATAAAATGATAGTACAGCGGGCTATCGGTTCGATCTTGACTGTGTCTTTGGTGCAGTTTCTGTGAAAATCGATGAGGCTGTACTGTAATTAGTTATGAAACTCGAATATCGTGTGGTTAACTTTTTTCAGTTTCAGACCTTTCCACTGAGTAATTCCTGATTACTAAAATCTGCCGAGATTTACTGGTGATTTTAGTATTCTTGATACGAAAAATTCACGGAGTTTTTAAAAAACCGTTTTTCTCCACGTTTCATGCAATTTTATCACTTTTAGCAAACAAATATTTTGAATTTTCGAAATTTTTCCAAGTATCGAAAAAAAATGTAAGTGAAAAATGTTCAAAGTTTTTCTAAAAACTACTTTTCTTCGTGGCGTGTTTTAAACTATTCCCATCATTTTGGGCCAATGAAAATTTTTTAAATTGTTGCTAATTAGTCAATTGATAATTATCCAATTAACTGATTATCTGACGTAAAAATTGTCGTCACAAAAGTTTTTTTCCTGATAAGATGAACACCCTCGGTTAATCCGCAACCTTTTACGATGTTCACAACTAAAGATATTCGACAAACAAGAAAGGTGGTAAAAAGTGGGAAAAGTTTGGAAAAGTTGGTCAGCCATAAACGGCATCTAATGGGACTCAAAAACGTCAAAAATCCTTAGAAAACTTCTTGTGTCGGTAGATCAATTTTTTCAGACGGATCTGTCTGTACTATTAGTACTAGATTGTCCTTAGATTTCAATTTTCATTTTGATCCCTTATATCTCCTCAATTCAACCTCCACGTTCTAGATTAGGCCTAAAATTATCTCAATAACCTTGATATATCAATAATCAACTTGTTAATAAAACACCATCTTCCAGGCGGTACGGAATGTAACAACATGGTGTTGAACTCGATCAGCAAGTTATACTCCAAACCTCACATCGTTATCTCAGCTGTGGAACATGACTCCATCAGTGTCTACGCTAGAAACCTCTTCAAACAAGTGTGTATTTTTACATTTTATTTCCTGAAATTTGTTTTTATTCTCTTAATATCCAGAAAATCTTTTAATAAGTTATGCAAACTGTTTGGTGTTTAAGATATAACAGTCGTTCCTACATATTTAGAACGCATTTAGTAATCATATCTCGAATTTACTGTTATTTATATCCCCAACATCTTTATGTAAACTTTTCTAAATATTCTGCCTACCACAGCGGAGAGGCACGGAGTGCCAGTCTCTTGTCACATGCATTTTAGCGTTTATATCTAGTGTGCATCTAGGCTTGATAACCTTAGAAGCTTGCGCTTGTCGTCAGTTCTTTAATAGCCATCACTTCATGTAAGCTTACAGAATATTTCAGTTATATAATGATGAGATATATATAATATATACGATATAACCTTTAAATTTAGGGCCGCATATTAGCCTATTAATTGGCCTCAGAAGTCTTCTGCGCAGAGGCTATGTAAATTTGTAAATCTGACCAAGGACCCAATAGTTCGTGTTTTCTTTATTTGGTATTTTTTCAAACTATTTTTTATCTGTTGGCTGATTACAAATCGCATAAAGTATGGTTTTCATTCACATATATAATGCCTAATGTTCACTACCACAAAAACAAATGGGGGGCCGGGCCGGGGGAGGGGGCACTTGAGAAATGTGAGATTCAATCAAAAATCACAGACATGACGTACGAAAATGTACATAGGATTGAAAAGTAAAAACTTTTATCGAGTTAGCCAGTCGACAGGAGTGTTCATGAAAATTTTGTCACAATTTAAATTTATTCAATCTTACTATATATAAAGCGAGACGATATATATGTATGTATATATCCGTCAAAAAAACCGTAAAAGATATACAACTGAAACTTTTTTGACTGGGTCAAATGCTTTAATGGCCTTCAAATCAGCATGAAAAAATAAAAAATTGGCCAAGGAATAATAATTTTAGTGCCCAAAATTTGGACTCCCAAGTGGTGTCAAAAACGCGAATTAAATAGGTAATAATTATTTTAGTCTCTCGAGTCTTGACACCACTTTGGGGTTAGACGGGTTCCTGCTAGTATATTATAATGTACCAGAAAGCCTGTGGTAACATGGGGAAGCTGGTAGTATTCTTTGAAATGATAATAATCACATACAACAAGAAATGCGGCCGCTTTTTTTTGTGCATGGCCGCTCAATTTCCCGATCCGTGATGGCGTATTTTATCATTTTCTATACAACCTGGGGACCCCAGTTTTTACTGTTTATAAGTATGCAGATATGGCGAAGTGACAGGCCGAGCGCCACCAAGTTAATATAATTCCATATTGAATTTGAAAATCGTGTATATTTTTAAAAACCATATGGGGGGTGATGCAACGTCAATTAATGTCAGTATTCCATAAAAACCCCAAACTGACATTGACATTAATTGACATTAATTGACATTAATTGACATTAATTGACATTAATTGACATTAATTGACATTAATTGACATTAATTGACATTAATATGTCTTGAAATTTGAGATTATCATTATTCGATAAATATTCAAGATATTCACGTCTATGTAAGTTAGACCGGTTCAAAAAAACAAAATGTCCTTGAATAATTATGAGTATGTTCTTATCTGTTGATCCTTAGGTTCAAAGACCACCAAAAAAAATTTCAGCTTCCAACTCTTCCATCTTCGGTCCCCACCGGCCACGCCCATATTTTATTGGTTTCTTATACAGGTAAAATATCTAGAATCGGTTTTTTTATTATGAATGAGTAATGTTAGCTGTTTAAGATTCGTTATTCAAATATAAATGTCATGAAGGCATTTCGTTTAATGTGGGTTTTAAGTTCTGATGATGTTGAGAACCACGCCCTTGGATGGCCACGCCCATTTAAGAAAATTAAATTTCGGAAAACCGTATTATTTTAGTTTTATTGTTTAATGATCTTAATTTTTTTCACATTTCACATTTCCATATGTGATAGTAGTGAATAAATTGATGATATAAACGTTCTAAAGTGCTAAAAATATGGTAGAACTACATAATCTCTGGTCGAAAAATATCGTGTCAATTAATGTCAGTATTCCAAAATTTTGCAAAACTGACATTGACATTAATTGACATTAATTGACATTAATTGACATTAATTGACATTAATTGACATTAATTGACGTTGCATTCCCCCCACCATATGCTTATTGTTTATGCAACCTGACACCCGACACGGATGCGTGCAAAATAGTATAAGTAACTCAAAATAATAATAGTATGCTATCAATTAGTGCCTAGTGGGATATGTACATGGTGAAATTAACAATGTACTTGGTCAGTTCAGCGCCGCGCGCCAACAATTAGCTAATTTGGATTATTCCGCAAAATAACTTTGCGCAGGTAGTCACGTGGGCGATTACAGTGTGTGCGCGCAGGCAGGTACGGTCGCTCGCAGGTACGGTCGCAAAGCTACCATATACAAAAAAAAACCTCGTTCGCTAACCCTTGTCCTTGACTCTTTTGTGCCTTCGGCACTTTGAGTCATGGATCGGGAAAAAATATCCACCCCAACCGATGATGACAGCCGATTTCACTTGTTTTTGTTGTTTTAACAAGGAGAACCGTTCTTCTTGTTTTTTGTTTTTTTGTTTTAACAAGACTTTTTTTGGGTGTATTTTGAAAACGTAGTTATGTCATGTCATGTCATGTCAGGTACAAGATGGTTTGAAAGTGTCCTGACTGGAGATATTTTAAATTCTAAATAATTAAATGTCCTAAAATGTTAATGTCCCCAAATATTAAATGTCCCCAAATATGCAAGACGTCATGTATCAATACTAACAATCCCAGTAAATCTGTGTGTGGGTGTGTGTGTGGGAAATTTCCGAAATTGCCAACAAGCAAATTTTTTTTAATCGGCCGGTGGTAAGTGGTTTAATTGATGGTTTTGTACCACAAATGTGACAATGACTCACTTTTTCTCCCCCCTCGCTCCCTCACATTACTACATAATATGCAGCGTTGGTACATAAATCATAATTAGGTTAGCCGCAAGATTCACTGTTATGTAATACTATAAGCTTATTAGGGGGAGGCACTCATTGCGGTCTGTTTGAACTGTAGAGAGAGTTCATACTCTCATACGACAGTAAGAGAGTATGCAAATGAAACTCAGGGATCGTAACTTCAAGTATGCCGTCTGAATTCCTGAGTTTCATCAGTAAAGCTCACTTTGATTGGAACACCCTGCATAACAATAAAATCAGTGCAGCTGTATTTTGCATATTTTGCATAGTTTGGACATCTTTATATTACCCTTTATTTGATATACACTAATACACTGTACACTAATTTTACTTTTAATACTTTGTTGAATAACAATTAGCAGTTACTTAGACCAAGTGTGGAGTTTCGAAAACATAATATGTAGGGTATTCACCGCAATCTTTCTCGTTAAAGTCACTATTCAATTAAACCGCGTACGTACGCTACTTAGTCAAGCACCGCATGTAAAGTGAAAATCACAGTTTCATGGTAACTTTAGCTTTGCAAATTCTTGCCTATTAGTGAGTACAATCTACATCGTATGTACTTTATCTCTGCAGTTTTCTATATCATGTTACACAATTATTGATCAGGAATGTTACAAAAGTTCAGGAATTAATTATAAAACATAATTGGCGTTACCAAACCAATTAACTAGTATTTTACAACATTGAAGTATTTAGCAGATATATTATATCATATTAAGAAATTAATGTTCACAAATGAATCACAAATAAATTACTGAATCACAGATTCCATTATAAGGAAAATTTAGATGATTGCCCAGTTAACCCACATCCAGAAAGACAGCAGATCGGCAGATAATCTGTAAGGAAATTTGGTGCGAAAAAGGAAAGTTTAAGAAGACCTAGGACCTTTTTTAGGGTATATTAGAAAATTTTAGGGGGAACATTGGTCTGCGAGGAAATTTTAAACTTTGTGGTTGTGTGTAAATGAATGAGTTTTAAAGAACTGTTTCACTAAAACAGTCTCATTGTAAGGACGTTACCAGGGTCTGATAACGCTAACAGAAGTAGAGCTGAACAGTAAAGGAGGTCTGGAGGTAGAGGACGTCCTCTCAGCCTGCACCACTCAGACTCGTCTTGTCTCCATAATGCTGGCTAACAATGAGACTGGTGTAATGTTTGATGTAGTGGAGATGGCTGGAAAGGTGAAGAAGGAGTTCCCTGGACTTCTCTTCCACACAGACGCTGCTCAAGCCTTAGGTGAGTGAACTTTGTAACCTGCAGCAACTGAAAAATTCTCATAATGTTTGTCCGTTAATGTCCGACAATGTCCCAAAAAACACGTCCGTTGTCTCACAGAATCCAAAAAGGATCCATATTTACTTAACACAGCATATTTCAATATGCTAATATGATTTGGGCCGGGGACCCCACATGAAGAGAGTTCTAAAATTCCGCGCAGGTCTTCTAAAATGTCCTCTTTGCCCCACAACCAGAAAGGTTTCTAAAATTTACCTCTTTAGCACCAAATTTCCTCCGAAATTTCCTTGCAGGTAATCTGGCGCCATTCTAGAGAAGTATTTGTAGGAAGTAAAATGTGGAATGATTGTGGAATTATTGTGCTGCTTACGCGGAAATACAGTGCTGTTTACACAGTTTTCATGTTGTTGCAATTATTGTTGATTCCGTTGTCAAGATGCAGGGTGACCCAGATGTAACCGAACACACGCAACCCTTTAATAACTCACGTTATTCTTCTTAGAATTGCACAGAAATTTCAGAGATCATAGATATGGGTCAAACTTAGATTTCCTGAAAGTTTCGTCAAATTTAATTAATTACAGTGGGTGTGGTACGCCACTCCAGCTCCCTCTTTTCAACTATTGTCACCATAAAGTAAGAACGCTTTAAGCTAGGAACTTCAAAGTTTATAGACACATAAGTTTGATAATTGAAGTGCTTCCCTAAAATTTCAATTTGGTTGTTCACAATTTAAGCGAGTTATGACCCTTTTAAGATCTTGCAGATACGTGATCCAGCACTTAATCAGTGATACTTCTGGGCCACCCTGAATGACCTGAAAAGTTGTTATTTTGTTAAAATTAAATTTTTTTAAACGCTTAACTTGATGACGTCATCAAGTGGTATAAATTTCCCCGGTCGTGCTTGCCAGCACTGTGATTTACATAATTTAAGTAATTTATGTGACAGGGGAATTTCTTCAAGGGCCATTGGCTGACCACTAACCCCTCACAATATGAGATGTTTTAAAGAGTGTAGAACTTTTCTAGAACTGAACGGTCTTCAAGCAGAATGAACACATAATTGTAGCGAAACTTGTCCGCCGCCGCCGAACGCCGCCGCCGCCGGGTGATTTTGCCACGCCGAACGCCGCCGATACACCCCGGCGTACATCGGCGTACGGCGTGCATTTTCTGACTTCAAAATAATTCTGTCTTCATTTGAAGATATCAGTGTTACTGATAGCGATTAGCGGCTAGGGGCAACACACACATGATACACACCTTTAGCTAACTTAACAATATTGATTATCAGAAGAACTGAGCAGATACCTACCTACTTATGAGTTTGACTGCAGAAGAAATTTTACAATTCGAACTTTTAAGATTTTGGGCCGATAGGCAAAAAACTTTCCCAATACTCTCAAACATAGTAAGAATATTTTTTTGGTTATTTAGAATATATATTCGCATTTATCCACACTATATTTACATTACACGTACAACGTGATATCGTTATCAGTGCAGTGTGTACAACACCAACTACACCGATCAATTGCCAATCTGCGAAACATTTAATTATTATTATCACTTCGAGATGGCCAGGCCTACTCTCATGCTGTCTATATGTGATGATTAATTCTGAAAAACTAGGGACAACTGGGGAATGATCCCAGAACCTCGAGATTTCGCGTCTCTTGCTCTACCAATTGAGCATGCATGAAATTGTGCTGTATATGAGTGGTGATTTCGCTCTGAGAATCAGGGTCAGTAGTGATAATAATAGTAAGAATAGTGCATTGTATACCTGCCAGTTGTGCGGAAATTGAAAGAACCTGGTCGGCTGCAGGTTTAATTCTTTTTAGTCAGCGATCTAGGATGAATGTTAAGAATTTCAAATATACACTGTTTTGTTCTAAAAACTATGATTTTGTTTCCAACAAAAAAGATTGAGAGATCCATTGATTTCAGCAATAATTTATTGTTTGTGTATTTTACCTTAAATAAAATAATTGTATCAATTTGTCTCAACTTTTATTTGATAGCAGATAATACCATAACAATATACCAACATCATTTGTTGAAGTTAAGTCTAAATTACCCAAATTAAGTACATGATCATATTCATATTTCATAGACCTCAATTTAGTTGGCCTTGATTTCACGGCTCACGCCGGCGTACGCCGCCGCCGCCGGTGTAATTTTAGTGAAACGCCGCCGCCGATCCATTTAGCCTCGGCGGACAAGCCTGCTGAAGACCATAATAAGCATGGCCTGACAGCTTAAAGCTCGAGCTATAAAAACTCGCTATGCCGAATATTACGCCCAGGTAAAATATTACTAGTTATAAGTTTAAACCCAGGTAAGATCCCAGTGGATGTTGCAGAGTTAAGAGTGGACTATCTGACACTGGTCGGACACAAGTTCTATGGACCACGTATTGGAGCGCTGTATCACCGTCTTACTGCACCATTACTTCCACTGTTATACGGGGGTGGACAGGAATCTGGCATCAGGCCAGGAACTGAGAATACACCTATGATAGCAGGTTTGTGATACAAGTATCTGTCATCAGGCCAGGAACTGAGAATACACCTATGATAGCAGGTTTGTGGTGCAAGAAGCTGGCATCAGGCCATGAACTGAGAACTGTGATAGCAGGTTTGTGATTGAGATTAAGTAACTTCTCTTCTTCGGGGCAGTATCCAGTGCTGCCCATTGTGGGGATTGTTGTGACATAACACAAGGTTATTTGTTGATTTTCCTTATATTCGAGCTTTTACCGTAATTTAGAATTTTAAAAAATCTTCATATTTTGGAGCCACAATTATTTTGATTTGACCAGTGACCACGTTATAGTCCTGACAATATGCCAGTTTTTGTCGGATTGTTTTTAAATCTGTTCTCCAATTGTATCTTGATTATTGTAAAGTTGTGGATTGCTAGCATGCACACATGATGTGCCCCTGTAGTAATGTTGGTTTGGAGTGTACAAAGCATGTCAAGTACAAAGCAATGCGTATCAGAAACCACCTGACATTGTATAGGCGTATATATGGTGTATGTTTAATTATAATAGTTACTAAATAGCACTAATACTGTAGTTTCTAAATAGTAATCACCGCCAGGACTAGGACTCGCTGCTCAGTTGGCAGTACAGGGTCTCTCCCAGAAAAGTCTGCACATGGAGAAGTGCCGGCGCTACTTGGAGGCAAGACTTGTGGAAACATTCGGCCATAAACTCGTCATAAACTGTAGAGACTCTCTGAGATTGCCCAACACCTCTAACTTTGCTATATTTCTGGAAAATTGCAGGTAATTCGGCAAATAAGATATGATAATAATAAATTGAAGTTTAATAGATGTGGATTCTCGTGGGGGTGAGGTACATTTGTTTACTTTAATAGTAAGTACCTTATGCGGAGACCAACCGTTCTAAAAAGCCATCTCGTTAGCTTTTCGTGTTAAAAGCGATTTCTCGACGGTTATCACCTCTCTAGATGATGCTTAAAACAGTTGGACTTCGTTGCATTTTTGTACTAAATACAATGAGGGCGTTTTGGGCCACACCCTTTTCTAGGGTTTTGCGGTCACTCGAATTGTTGTATTTTGGCCCAGGAAGGTCGTAGAGACTATTCCGATACACCAAAATGTTCCTAATAGCCATATTGATATACAACTTATAAAGCAACATATACCTTAAAATGCTTATTTTCGGAAATATGGCTAAAAACCGATTTTTGCCAAGATTATCACCCGTTAATATAGGTACGTTTCACCACTGGCAACTTATAGTGAATTTTTTTTAATTGACCATGGAATAACTATAAGGAATTTTTATGCTAAATAGTAAATACTTCATGCTAAATACTGATTAGTTATGCTAAATAGTAAATATGCTGTCTATGTAAACATTTTTCCGCACAGTCTCCGCAGTCCTTTTCCAGATTAGGACGGACCCAGTTATTCTCTCTGTCACTTTATTTTCAATCGAATTATAAGTTTTAATTTGGCCCTCGAAAGCCTTCAAGTCTCCGAGTAATTCATCCTTTTCCCATCAAAAAATATGATATCAATATTGCTGAAGTGCTAGGCCACAGTCAGGCAACAGTTGATCAGACGATCAAGGCAACATATACCTTAAAATTCTTATTTTCGGAAATATGGCTGAAAAAACGGTTTTCGGCTTGACGCAGTTCATAATTTCTGTGCTTTTTGGCATTTCCGCCCGGAAAAGTCGTAGAAACTATTCCGATACACCAAAGTACCTAATAGCCATATTGATATACAACTTATGAAGCAAAATATACCTTAAAATGCTTATTTTCGGAAATATGGCTGAAAAACGGATTTCTGCCAAGCGAACAATGAAAAAAAATTAGCTCAATCCGACTATCCAAACTATCAAATAAATGCGAAAATGAACCTTCATTTGAAAAAAAAACAAACAACAACAACAATTTATAATTTTATACTTTTGTACGTCCACAAATTTGAAAAAATTCCAAATCTCTCCTACATCCTAGTTACCACACCTGTTAGTAAAAGTGTGTGTGTAATTGATACGAGATGACGCGTTAAGCCTATGGTTGATATGTGTTAACTAAATTAACCTGGTATTAGTGTAGGAAATTTAATCCTTTGTCCTCTTCAACACTCCTCAGAAAGTTGATGAGATTAATTTTTCTGGACGGTTTAACTTCTGGGTGTGTTCTGAGTGTTCTGCATGGAAACCCCAGATCCAGAAAGTTTTAAGTTTCATCGCAGATCAATGTTTCCCTCCTCACAATTTTCAGGTGTCTTGTGCCCTAAAAAAGGTCAGGTATACAAATTTCCTCCAGAATTTCCACGCAGATTATCTGCCGATATCGCCTTTCTGGATGTCGGATCGGCTCACGATTAATCACAAAGCACTAACTAAGTGCCAAGTTTTAACTGATTAGTTTTACCTTCGAGAACATAATATGTTGAAATATGGTCAATAATAGAATTACTTCAATACTAAAAGAGTAAAAGGGAAAGAAGAGGCCATGTATATGGAGGTGCCCTGTATATGGAGGTTCGACTGTATTTAGCAGCCCCCCCCCCCCCCCCCCCCCCCCCCTTTAGCAGCTAACAAGTTGTTCCTGTTACAGGTCAGTAAACGTGTTGGAAGGAGTCCAGTTCATTGCAAGTAAGGGAGCAGCATGTCACAGCCACTCAACTACTAAACCATCCCAGATCCTCCTTAACTCAGGGGTGAGTTGTAATACAAACCAGTGCTTTTTTGTCATTCTTTATATGTCGCCCACCAAACTCAGGATGTCAGGTTTATCACGTGACGCTGAGATAGGGCACTGGGCCCTTGTCAGTTGTCGAGCAGCAAGGCCGTTGCTCGTAGGTAGGGACCCTTGCAGTCTGCCTTATTTGGTAAATCACTGTCCTTATCATCTGCAAGTAACCTTAAATCAAACTAATGGTCATGGTTGTGGGTAATGGTTTGAGGTCGTGTGTGGTTTGTCATGTATATAATATATTATATAGGTAAGCTCAGTGTGCATAAATATTAGGATTATTAAGCCAAATATATAAATAACCGTAAGTGTGGGATATGCATAAGAATATGCACACAGCTACAGCATAGCATATTATACTCAACTATTTCTTTAAATTAAGACGATTTACTCTCCAGTGACAAAAAATTGTGTGTAAGAGTTTCATTAGAGTCAGTTAGAAGTTACAGTTACAAGAGTTTCATTACAGTGGCAACTCAGTAGTACTATATAACTCAGTCTCAACTCTCAAGCTTGACTTAAGTTCCTTTGCCCTTCCTCCAGGATAAGATGGAGAAATACCAGGAATATTACAAAATATTACCAAATATTACCGAATATTACTGAATATTACTATCTGATGCTGAATATTACCAGGCCGTGGAGTGAAATTTCTGTGGCCAGAATAGTGACTTGGACAAAATCCCTCGGGGCACCTTTGTTCTTCTTATCGTATCTCATTGTTTGTTTATACTTAAAGGACCCGTCCCCAATCTCGTATCGGATCCAACTCAATTCTGAGTGTACTTGTAACGTTAATCTTACGACTCATAGAGTAAAGCCACGGAATAGTCTTCGGAAAAATCTATAAATATATAACATGTACAATTTGTACATCAAGAAATCGTATCGGGAGGAATATTCGAGTACAAACGTAATATAGGAAATATGTTCTCCGGAATGAAAGCTAGTAATGAGAAATTTCAAGTTTGAGAATTTTATGAGTAGAAATCTTTGGGGATGTATATCGCCAAGCTTATGATAAGCTTGTGACAATTTACCTAATGTAAAATTAATGTAATTTCCGTGTATGTATCTAATAAATTAGTATCGTAACCAATTCCAATATAACCAATGTAATTTGCAGGTCTCGTATGAAGTAGCTATGAACTCTATTCGTGTCAGCCTGGGTGTTCACAACACTGTGGAAGATGTAGATTTTATTATTGAGGATCTTATTAGGGTAAGTAACGAACTAGCTCAGCTTTAGTACGAGTCTACTACGAGTCACTACTACCACTACTACTAGTAGTTGTAGCGATAACGTGACCTATTACTTACCGTCTAGCTGGGGTCATACTCTCTTCTGCTTTAAATTATAATGGAGAAATTATAAATAAATTACATACTTATGTAAAGTGGTTAGTACCACTACCATCTTAGCTCTGGGTTTTATCGTTTTATTTAATCTCTGAATTCTTGCGCTGCTTTGTTTTAATTATTTTATATTTATACTTATGCTAATTTTAATATTGTATTTGATCTTTAGAAGTTGTGATAAGTTGTTTTGGGAACCGCGTATATTTATTTTGTAAAGTTATGCGATTTGATTATATATCTTAAATGGCTAAGTATTTGATACTCGGGTTGGGGCGCCAATAACTTAAAATCCATGGAATGAAATATCAATTTACACAAAGGTTTTTCCATTTTCTCCAAATTTTCTCCATTTTCTGACATTTTGGTAAAATGATTTTACGCCACTTGTCAGAAGCTAATTATGTACATTGATATATAAATTTAGCGGTAAAGTATTTAGCGGTACCAATTTTTGTTATGTATCGATTATCGCAGTCCGTAATATCTATGACGTAGTTCCTGCTATTTTAAGCATATGTCTTAGATTTTCATCCACTCATATTATAGAATAATCTTATTTGAGTTCTGGTCGTAGTTTTAACTTATTATACTGATTTTTTTGGTTTTATTTAATTGTGAGTGATTTACTCCGTATTGTAATATTCGTGTTAACAAATTATGATGCATTAGCTGGCACGAGGTTTGAGCAAGTGTCTACTAATTTCAGTTTTCGCATCGTATAACTTACTTTATAAATGTTACTTTATTAATATTAAGTATTCATTACTAATTTACTACTAATTAGTCAGGGTAATGGCACTGAGGTTGACTTCCCGGGTTTGCCTACGTCAGCTCTACGCACAAAGAAGGTGCCTGTCAAGTAAGTAACTCCAGATAGATTGAATTTTACTTCATCTTTTGATAACTTTAGTGATCATTCTAATGACCTGACAAATCATTTTCTGATTGAATTTTGTAAAATATCGGAGAGTCAATGAGAAATCAAAAAATTCATTGATAACCTGTCAGATTTGATTGATGAAATTTCCTAGGCCCCATGAAAAATCAATATATTTTCATAATTTCGAGTCAGCTGCATGTCAAATACACTGAATTGTCATGACTCCCGCAATAGACATAATATGTGCATACAATCAGCGTGACTAACACAGTAACAGTTTACTTTACTTACTTTATTAACAATTTACTTTTTCAGTGTATTTCACAGAATCACATACAATCATTGTTACTTTTACGTTTAACAATTTACTTTTTCAGTGTATTTCACAGAAGCACACGAGTGGGTCAAAGTAGAGGGTAATAAATTCAGAATAGGAATCACAGACCACGCCCAAGCGGCCCTGGGGGACGTTGTGTTTGTTGAGTTACCAGAACTCGACTCTGAGCTCGACGCCGGAGGTACAGTACAAATTGTGATAACTACTGATAGTAGCTACTGATAAGTGTGATCTTCTTCTTCATTGTTTCGACACAATTGTATACCACGCGATCAAAACAATAAACACAAAAGTAATAATAACGCTTCCCAGAGGAAATAGGTTCGGTGGAAAGTGTTAAGGCTGTAGGAGACGTACACTGTCCAGTGGGGGGCATTGTTCAGGCAGTTAACGAACAACTATTAGATAAACCCGGCATGATTAATTCTTCTCCTGAGGATGAAGGTTAGGAACTTTTTATATAACTAGATTCTAGCGCTGTGTAAGAATAGCGGTGCAATTTATTATTGGCTTTTGCATACTTCAGATAATTTAAAGTGCACATCTAAATATGTCATGAATTTCTTCGTTGACAGACTTATTATTTATTTGTGCGACGCAAAAAGTCTATAGTTCTAGAGACAGCCTGTTACTAAAACACTCATCGGTTGTATGATGTTTTCAGAATATTTACCGGTGCTCGTACCCGTTTGGGGAATTTCTGATACACATCAGAATTAACTCATATATTCCTAACGACTTGAATGTCTGCATTTTATACTCACCGTTTCAAAATATTAAATTATGACATATCACTGAACACGTAAGTCATAACTTCTATTCTATTCCGCGTGTTCCAAACAACACAAAACAGGTTTCGCGCGGAAAAGACTATTTATTGTGAGCATTAATGTGCCTGATTTATATGGAAAGTTCGATCCAGCACTTTATAACGCGCGCGCACAACACGGGCTGGCACAAACACATGGTTTTAGCACGGCTTTTTGTAGAACGTTCCGTGAAAATAGGCTACATCAACCATTCGCTCAAAGAGCGAGTATCTGCTATTAGTTTTGGACTGATAGTTTTTAATCGAATTCTTAATGTTCGAAACATATTCTGAACATAATCTAATGTTTCAGGTTGGATCGCTGAGCTTGAACTCACAGATTCGTCTGAATTGGACGACCTGATGGATAGAGACGGTTACGCTGCTTTCCTAGCCGACGGAGCATAAAGCATGAAAATTAGGGAATTGTATTCATTTAAACTGTGACAGTGCAGTGACATTTCCAGCTGAATTTTTGTTAGGCCTAGAAAAGCAGTTCGAGATTTATAGTGAAGTAATTTTTATTGTATTTAGTTTCAGATATTTTCGTTATCGACTTTCATACTCAAGTGCCATACTGTAATTTTTATCGATGAAGGTTAGAAAGCTTTATTATAAGCCATGGAGTATAGTATTTATTTTATAAAAGTTAATTTGTAGGTAATGGTAATCTCTCTGACTTGAATAATATTCATTACAAACATTCATCCAAAACATATTGATATGATCAGCTTTGTCCTTTTTTCAAAAGATTGATCAGCACGATTTGTAGCTCAACGATAATAAGTCATCACCATATCATATTAACTTAGAATACGTACTAGCTTCGTGATATAGACTCGCCATCTATGTAATGAACTTGATACGTAGGATGGCTTGAAGAAAAAGAAAGCAATGGTATGCACTAGGAGTCAGTCTCGGATCCCTCTCGCTGAAATGACAGTGGAACACGCGCACAAACGATCCAAAACTGTCTCCACTACACAAAGTAAGTTTTAACTAGCTTAGCAGCTATTAAATGCTCTAGAATTAAGATGTAGTATGTTAGAATATGCAGTTAACAGAAGATGTTATAACTGTTCCTCTGATGATATTTTTCTTTCAGCATCTGCTCAGTCACCAGATGAGGAAAGTACGAGCGAAGACGGTTTTGACGAGGCCAGAGAAAACTACCCTCCTTCGGAAGATATGATCCATATCTGCACACCGAAAACACCACGAACAGGTTGGTGCGTGTCGTGCTCAGCAACCAAGTCGAGTTATTTTATCCATGTCAGACATTTTGAGTGCTAACTAGCTATTGTAAGTGATAAAGCATGATGTTATTTCCGTTTCAATAGTAATAAGTAAATCTGCATAGGCATCTACCACACGGAATGGATATCGTCACCATTTTGGAGGCAAAGTTTGTCGAATGATCGGGTTAACAGATGGGAGACCTCAGCGGATGAAGTTGTTCTGAAGATTTTCAGTTATCTAAAGTTCGAAGACCTCTTTCGATGTGCCCTCGTAAGTACTAATCATTTATCATGTATCCTACGTTGGTTACGTTGCATCATGATAGTTTTGTATCAGTTTTGTATCATTTATATCGCCGTATCCAGGGTATTCGTATTCACAACAATAGTGGAAGACCCTAATTGAGGAGCATTTCTGTTCTTAGTCATAAAACAACACATAGCCTCACACAGAGATTTGAAGCTTTTCCTGAGATCTTTGCTTCGGCCAATTATGATTACTGGGCTTACTGCAGCGTTGAGAAGAGGCAGGGTTGTATAGATAGCACCATCAATTAACTGTCGCGGTGGGAGGTTGGAGGTATTTTCGAACATAAAATCAGTCCACAAAAACCAAACAGTGGCAGCACTTTGGCAGAAGAAGAACAGGACTGTCAGCTGAAGTATAGTGATGGTCACGTGATGCTGGTTGTTTGGTCCTGCCGCCCCCACATCACGAGGTCTCCTCACCCACAGAATCTGTATAACCATACAAGTAACCACTATCAGCACAGGCAGCAGATAGGCCAATACTAGGAGGGAAAACAGGATTGATCTTCCCAGCATTTCTCGGTAGCAATCCTCATTACACCCAATTGCGGCCAACAAGTTCGCTGTTTCTGTTCCTAACCATGGATAGGTCATGAAAATGTCGAGTGCTTCCATATCATCAATCCCTACTAATATTACCACGTCTACAAGAGCTAAAACCACCCAAAACGTCCCATATCCAGCGATGGATATAAAAGCTATTCGCCCACTAATCCTTTGAAAGGGTCGTTTGATTTTGATTGTTCTGGACACTGATAGCACAACGTTGGAGAAAACTGAAATCTTCCAAAATATTCCAGTAGCTGCTACAGAGAGGGTTACCAAATATGCGGTCACAATGTCGGTGAGATAGTGTTGATCTATCAGCCACAGTATAAAATACTGTGCTAGCAACAAAATGGTAGCTAGATTGTCCGCTGTGCTGATCAGCATGTACATTAAGGGGACGAACTTAGCTTTTTGTGGGTAGTAATGGTGAATAACAAAGCTGTTTAGTGCGAATATAACAACAGCCAAGGTCAGGTTTGCTGGTAGCAAAGGACCCAAAGACTGTTGAGATTCCGGAAAGTTTTCTCCACTTTCAGGCATCTGGCTCGTTGTTGACTCCATACCTGGCAGAAGAAAATAATAGTTATAATAGTAAAAACCGGGAGTTATCTTTATTTGTTGATGGTAAAATGTTAGATATCTAAAAATGCAGGGATTTTATACGAATTAAAAATTTGAATGCTAAGCGAAGCTTTGAGATTAATCTACAATAGCTTTACCGATGTCTAGTCATGTATACTACTATTTTGCAGTCTGGGGAACGACCTCAGAAAAGGGGCATTGGCGCGGCAGACAGCCAAAAATACGACAAAAAACTACACCTGCTTTAATTATAAACATATTTGACAAACTAGGAACATTTACCGGATTAAATAGCGAAATGGTGTCTCGACTAAATTCAGGAAGTTTACATAAAACGACACCTGTCACCTGTGAATACTGAATACTAAGTACTGAGTATGATAATAATTTGGATCCTACGAGTAGACGTGAGCCCCTATTCTTTGCCGTGCAGGATAAAGAGTCCCACACACATTACCCCTTAGTTAATAGTTATACAATAATGATAAACAACTCTTTATATGTAATAATGGTGTCATAAACATCTGCTAACATAATTACCAAATTTGTCGCATTTAAATTAAAAATTATGCTAACAATTTGATGGTTCGATTATAAACTGGCCAAGCGTATGAAATCGTATTTAAATAGACCTGGTTGCAAGAGGGAAGGTACAGGTGAATCAACTTTTTTTCTGACACGTGACAACGATTTACCAATCTAATCAACTTAACGTTTCGCAACAAACATGCTCACAAGTCACATTGCCATTGATTAAATGACGTTTATAAATGCGCATATTTTTACCTCGAAGAGATATGAATGGTATGCAAAATAACACGTTCACGGTCTACACTTTACAGTTTGTGCACGGTTTGTGCTAAGTTAATTCGTTTTCAAAACCACGATAAAACAATTAGCACACTCTTTAGCAGCACAGGTGTTTGTTTTGGTTACCTTTACCAATGTGTTGTCGATCATTTTATTTTTCCTGTAATAAACTTATTTTATAAAACAAAGAAACGGATAAATGATCTGTTTTGCTAACAGTAACTAGTAGTAGTATTATTTAGCTTACTAGCCTCTCTACTCTTACTACTAATATTGTAGTGCATCTTTAGCTCACCTAGAAATTAGTGTGGACACAAACAAATGCCTACGATCTAAAAGCTCGTAGTTTGATACACGATTGAAAGAGACTAACGTGTTAATCGTTGGAATAGCTGGACTGGTGACATGAGTACTGCTTAAGTATTTGAGCTATTACACGCTATTTATACGTTAAGACCATGTGCCCAGCAGCTGCTAATACTGGTAATGAGTACTAGATAGTAGTCTACACACTATTATGGAGGGGGGGGGTCCAAGGGGAACTTTGGGGAACTTTGGTAAAGTCCCCCAAGATTTCTGAAGTTCCCCAAAAAAAAGTTCCCCAAAACTCCCCAAAATTCCCCAAAATTATTCAAAATTATTCAAAATTTCTCTAATATACATTAATACCCATTAATGTTAACATGTATCTCTACTATAATTCAAAGAATTATTTCTTTACGACCGCCCACGTGCAAATTAGACGAGGAATAAGAAGTTGCATAGTAACCATGGTAACGAGGGTTGTTACGTGCACGTGCAATGATTGTTTTAACTTCATTTTGATCGGTTTTGTTGATATTACGCTGTGTTTAGCACAAGCAACATTTTAATGGGCTGTATCTTCGGTTTTGTAGGATATTTTTTGATGAGATTAAACTTACTAACAAAAAATACTATCAATATTAGCTTCCTCCCTGTGACCACGGGTTTTCTAGTGTTATTATAAAGTATAATCTTAACTTACTTGTTGATACTTGCAGCATGATAATTTTTTTTGGCATGATAATTTTTTTGGGGAACTTTGGGGAATTTTGGGGAATTTTGGGGAACTTTCTGAAGTTCCCCAAAAAAAAGTTCCCCAAAATTCCCCAAAATTATTTGTTTCATTGATAATTTTTTGGGGAACTTTGGGAAAGTCCCCCAGGTTTCCTGAAGTTCCCCAAAAAAAAGTTCCCCAAAACTCCCCAAAGTTCCCCTTGGACCCCCCCCCCCCCCCCCCCTATGGAAAACAGGGTGGTAGTTGCCTTTACTCGTACTAATCAGCTTATATAACAGCTGCTAACATTCACAGCGTCCTTCGGCCTCATATTTGTGGAACACAACAAGAAAATTGAGAATAATCTTGTGCGAGGATAGGGACCCAGATGTCGTTTCTAACCCAAATAAACTTTAAGGACGCTTCTCAGTAGCCGCACATCCTTACTCGGTTTCTGAACTGGAATTCTATGGGCTTCCAGACGGCCAGACCGAGTATTACCATCCCATCCTTCTAGAGTTCATCACAAGTAGCACCCACCTTGAAGATCTTTGACACCCAGACACACCCCATTGGCGAACAAACTTTGGATATAATCTTACATGCTCCCGAAGGAATCCCTGGTTTATGGTCTTTCTCATCGTCACCAGCACTTTCACTTAACGTTTCTCAACAAACATGCTCACAAGCCATTAATTAAATAAAGTTTATAAATGCGCATATTTTTACCTCGAAGAGACATGTGCCCAGCAGCTGCTAATACTGGTAATGAGTACTAGATAGTAGTCCACAAACTATTATGGAAAACAGGGTGGTAGTTGCCTTTACTCGGTTCTTAATCAGCTTAATGGATAACAGCTAGCTATCATTCACAGCGTCCTTCGGCATCATATTTAATTAACTGAAATAAAACATTGGAGATTTTTGTTTCAAGAACTCCAGGATTATTAGAGATAAGAATGATTTGAAGGTCACTACTTTACTAGCTTGGGTAAGCAGTTTACCAACTGTAACAGAGGCATCAGTGTGGAAACTTGAATTCTCGGGCCTTTCCTTTTAGTAATTATCATGACAGATGTTCTTAAAATGTAAGTAATTTGTATGTTATCGACGCTAAATTAGCAATGCCACTTACTGATTATAAAGTTACAATTGCCTATACGTTCGATGAAATAAAAGCAAAAGATTTAGATAAGCCTAAATTTCTGTTCGGAACCCAAAGTTCGCTGGGGTTGGTTCCGCAAAAAACTATTTAAAGTATAAAATAAAGTAGTATGAATTTCTCACATTCATTCAGATTGAAGAGATTGTAAAATTATATCACGAACTTACTAACTTATATATCTGGATTCAGTCAAGTGTGCTCCACTGTTGGTGACCTTCCAACGTAAACACATGGTAAACCCTAAACACGTGGTAAACACTAAACACGTGGTAAACACTAAACACGTGGTAAACCCTAAACACGTGGTAAACACTAAACACGTGGTAAACCCTAAACACGTGGTAAACACTAAACACGTGGTAAACACTAAACACGTGGTAAACCCTAAACACGTGGTAAACACTAAACATGTGGTAAACACTAAACATGTGGTAAACCCTAAACATGTGGTAAACACGTGTTCACCTAATTACAGGTCATTGATCCTAGTCTTCTCGAAAGTTCGCGCATATGGTTTACTTTTTTCACCATTTAACTGCGACAGGTTGTCACGGAAATAGCTTTTAAGAAAAGATATTATACTCTTAACACCTGTTATATCTCACAACTTTTGATCCAAGATGGGTTTGAAGCATTTAGTAGAGGGCAAATGGATGGTAACGAGTATCGAGTCCTTGAAAAGGAAACAGTGTGCCACTAGCTATTTACCTTAATCGTAATTTTAATTTAATTATTTAAACTATGTAACCGGCAGGTGTGTCGACACTGGAGAGCGTTATCGTACGACAGGCTGCTGTGGACTCAATTCAACCTGACCCAGCGGGCTATACCCTTCGACAAGTTACTAACTGTCCTGGGATACGGAACAAAGTACTTGTCACTTTCCTGTGGGGACGTCAAGGAACGCACTGCCCCGTCACCAAGAAAGGTTCATATCTTAAACATTATTTTGAAGCCACGGTTTGGTTTTATTGGAGGTTATAACCTGACGCAAGTTCCAATAAGGTAGATCACACAAACGATTAACATCCTGATACTCCAGCGAAGAGAGTCTATTTTACTGGAGTACGCTGACTTTGGTCTGTGTAACATCCTACCCACCCAACTATCTCGCCTCCTGGACTGTGCTCCTAACCTTGTCAAGCTTAACCTGGAGTCTGTAACAATATCAGGGCCAGTGCTGCGCGCTGTGGCACAGTGCTCACAACTGCAGATCCTAAACCTGGCCATGTGCCAGAATGTTAATGCTTCACAGCTGGTGGCTGTAACTCGGAACTGCACTAAGTTAAAGGAGCTGAACATGGCGTGGTGCAACATCAGTGAGAAGACCTACAATAGACTCTTCCCATGTTAGTTCAACTTTTTAATCATTTAAGACTTCACATTTTCTAACTCAAATTGGCGTTGCTAAGAAATATAATATAATAATTAGCAATATGTTTTCAAATGTCTTTCCGACAACAGACTAATGCCTCATTGCATATATAACACCATACAACCATAGAATGACATCTATCATATATTGTTAATATAAGCCACGGGATATTTTAGGAATTTTGAGGTATTTTCGGGAATGCCTTAATGGATTTAGGCAAACCCCATAATAGAGTCACACATAATTCCACAAAATTCCCCTGGGCTCCCAGCCTCCTCCCTAAACAAGGAACTGAAACCGAGGGGTTCCGTTCAGGCCCTTCACACTTTGTTTCTGTCTAGTTCTAATTTACCGTCACAATAGTGACTTTAAATATATTGCTTTTCGGTTCTTTTGCGATAGTCAAAACGCGACAACTAGCGCTGGATGGCGACAACTAGCGCTATCCAGCGCTAGTTGTCGCCATCCAGCGCTAGTTGTCGCTATCCAGCGCTGGATAACGCTGGCCAGCGCTAAATATATATGTTCGATAATTGTCGATATCCAGCGCTAGTTGTCGCCATCCAGCGCTAGTTGTCGCCATCCAGCGCTAGTTGTCGCTATCCAGCGCTAGTTGTCGCTGGCTATGCGACACTGTCGCACGCGATAGTTTGCGATGGCCAGCGCAACTGGCCATCGCAGAAAACAGTTCGATAACTAGCGCTGGATAGCGACAACTAGCGCTGGATAGCGACAACTAGCGCTGGCCAGCGCTAAGCGATAGCCAGCGCTGGCCATCAATATCCAGCGCAAAATTTTTGCGCTATTACTCGTCAGCTAGCGCTGGCCAGCACTAGCCAGCGCAATGTATCAAAATCATATACTTGCGATATTACTCGGATGATGATTAATCACTTTACACTCAACTGTCACGTGACTTTTTTAACCCATTCTCTGACTCTTGCTGGTTCTGAACGACTTTTTGAAACCCTATCCCTCTAATCTGATTCCAACCCTAACCCTAACCCAATCCTTAACAAAAACATATGCTGAAACCCTAACCCTAACGAGAAATTAGACTAACTTCCTTATACGGTCATAATCATATCACGTGATAGATACAGTTTTTCGCCAATATCTCGTCAGGAGAGCATTTTAACCCTATGTCATGGGGGTTGATTCGGAATTAGCGTCCAAAAATACATTGCATCGATTGAAGTTGGTTACAACCATCGGGGGCCCTTTAAGAACAATCTCGAGAAGATCGACTATAGAGTGATTAAGCACGCTCGATATTAGTATTACTCGTCAGCCAGCGCTGGCCAGCGCAATATAGTTGCGATATTATTCGTCAGCTAGCGCTAGCGCTGGCCAGCGCTGGCTAGCGCTGGCTAGCACTGGCGGGCACTGGTTAGCGCTGGTTAGCGCTGGTTAGCGCTGGCCAGCGCTAGCTGACGAGTAATAGCGGGGGGGGGGGGGTGTCACGTCCGTCTATGTCCGCTTGTCTCATAGAATCCAAAAAGGACAGGACATAGACGGACATAGGCGGACATAGGCGGACATAGGCGGACATAGGCGGACATAGGCGGACATAGACGGACATAGGCGGACATAGACGGACATAGGCGGACATAGGCGGACATTAATGGACACCTAAATTGCTAAATAAAATGTTCAATTTTTGCTGTTATAGGGGGATCATGTTTTTTGTCCGTTCGGTACCCTATATTTTCAAAACGGACAAAAAATAGAGCGGACAAAAACGGACAAAAATGGACAAAAACGGACAAAAATGGAAATAACATTTAGATGCTTCCTCCTCCTACTCTTCCTCCTCCTGGGTCCTCCTCCTCCTCCTCCTCTTCATCCTCCTCCTCAGTCCTCCTCAGTCCTCCTCCTCATCCTTCTCCTCAGTCCTCCATCCTCCTCCTCAGTCCTCCCCAGTCCCCCTCCTCCTCCTATTCAGTCCTCCTCCTCCTCCTTCTCAGTCCTCCTCGGTCCTCCTCCTCCTCTTCCCTCTCAGTCATCCTCCTCAGCCATCCTCCTCAGTCCTCCTCAGTCCTCCTCAGTCCTCCTCCTCAGTCCTCCTCCTCCTGGGTCCTCCTCCTCCTCTTCATCCTCCTCCTCTTCCTCCTCGGTCCTCAGTCCTCCTCCTCCTGGGTCCTCCTCCTCATCCTTCTCATCATTCCTCCTCCCCAGTCCTCTCCCAGTCCCCCTCCTTCTCCTCCTCCTATTCAGTCCTCCTCCTCCTCCTCCTCCTCAGTTCTCCTCAGTCCTCCTTCTCATTTCTCCTAAGTCCTCCTCCTGAGTCCTCCTCCTGAGTCCTCCTCCTGAGTCCTCCTCTTCCTTCTGAGTCCTCCTCCTGAGTCCTCCTCCTCCCTCTCAGTCATCCTCCTCAGTCATCCTCCTCAGCCATCCTCCCCAGCCATCCTCCTCAGCCATCCTCCTCAGTACTCCTCAGTCCTCCTCCTTCTCAGTCATCGTCAGTCCTCCTCCACAGTCCTCCTCAGTCCTCCTCCTCCTCCTGGGTCCTCCTCCTCCTCCTCCTGGGTCCTCCTGGGTCTTCCTGATCTTCCCCAGTCCTCTTCCTCCTCCCCTCCTCAGTCCTCCTCCTACTCTTCCTCCTCGTCCTCAGTCCTCCTCATCAGTCCTCAACAGTTCTCCTCCTCCCCAGTCCTCCTCCTCCTCCTGGGGCCTTTTCCTGGGTCCTCCTCCTGGGTCCTCCTCAGTCCTCCTCCTTCTCAGTCCTCCTCGTGCCTCCTCCTGAGTCCTCCTCCTCCTGAGTCATCCTCCTCAGTTCTCCTCCTCCTCCTCCTAGGTCCTCCTTCTGGGTCCTCCTCCTCCTCCTCCTGGGTCTTCCTGATCCTTCTCCTCCCTCTCAGTCATCCTCCTCAGTCATCCTCCTCAGTCATCCTCCTCAGCCATCCTCCTCAGCCATCCTTCTCAGCCATCCTCCCCAGTCCTCTTCCTCCTCCCCTCCTCAGTCCTCCTCCTACTCTTCCTCCCCGTCCTCAGTCCTCCTCATCAGTCCTCAACAGTTCTTCTCCTCCCCAGTCCTCCTCCTCCTCCTGGGGCCTTTTCCTGGGTCCTCCTCCTGGGTCCTCCTCCTGGGTCCTCCTCCTCCTGGGTCCTCCTTCTCCTCCTCAGTCCTTCTCCTCCTCCTCCTCAGTCCTCTTCCTCCTCTTCCTCCTCCTCCCTCTCAGTCATCCTCCTCAGCCATCCTCCTCCTCCTCAGTCATCCTCCTCAGTTCTCCTCCTCCTCCTCCTAGGTCCTCCTTCTGGGTCCTCCTCCTCCTCCTCCTCCTGGGTCTTCCTGATCCTTCTCCTCCCTCTCAGTCATCCTCCTCAGTCATCCTCCTCAGTCATCCTCCTCAGCCATCCTCCTCAGCCATCCTTCTCAGCCATCCTCCTCAGTACTCTTCAGTACTCTTCAGTACTCTTCAGTCCTCAAAATGTTTGTCCGCTAATGTCCACCAATGTCCGCTAATGTCCACCAATGTCCATCCAAGTCCGCCAATGTCCGTCCGGGTCCGCCAATGTCCGTCCGAGTCCGCCAATGTCCGTCCGAGTCCGCCAATGTCCGTCCGAGTCCGCCAATGTCCGTCCGTGTCCGCCAATGTCCCAAAAAACACGTCCGTTGTCTCATAGAATCCAAAAAGGACAGGACATAGGCGGACATAGACGGACATGACACCCCCCCCCCCCCCCCCCCCCCCCCAATAGCGCAAAAATTTTGCGCTGGATATCGCTGGCCAGCGCTAGTTGTCGCTATCCAGCGCTAGTTGTCGCTATCCAGCGCTAGTTGTCGCTATCCAGCGCTAGTTATCGAACTGTTTTCTGCGATGGCCAGTTGCGCTGGCCATCGCAAACTATCGCGTGCGACAGTGTCGCATAGCCAGCGACAACTAGCGCTGGATAGCGACAACTAGCGCTGGATGGCGACAACTAGCGCTGGATGGCGACAACTAGCGCTGGATAGCGACAATTATCGAACATATATATTTAGCGCTGGCCAGCGTTATCCAGCGCTGGATAGCGACAACTAGCGCTGGATGGCGACAACTAGCGCTGGATAGCGCTAGTTGTCGCCATCCAGCGCTAGTTGTCGCGTTTTGACTATCGCAAAAGAACCTGCTTTTCTGTTATTTTAACTAATAACGATGATCGAGTTATCTTGAATAACACTACTATTTATAGTACTATACTATTTATAACTACTATGAGAAACCGCGCGGTTACTGCATGACATAGAGTAATTATCATTAGTTTGCCCTTCAAATTGCCCTCCAAATTCGGGATATTCACTGCTATCATAGCCACTAAAATTGATTTAAACCCTGCAGTGCGATGTGTAACAATGGAGAAGCTTAACATTAGCGGAGGCCGAGACACGGTGTCTTGTGAAACTATTCGGCTACTCTCCAGCAATCTTCCTAACCTCACTTCTCTCGATATTAGCGACTGTATCCGGATCAATAGATACGGTATGTGTTCTGTCCTTGATTTTATGATAACTCTTTGCAAAACACTCTGGTTACAGTGCCATTATTTCGCAGCACATGGTCTATATTAGGCTCTTTGCTGGATGAGTTTGAATTTATAGAAACAGAAAATAAACTTAATTTAAATTTACTAAACATAATACTACATATTATTAAACTTAATTACACATATTATTAAACTTAATTTGTGTCCTGAAATTAATTAACATGATAATAAAGATTGTGTTGTCTGGATCTGTTTAGTTGACTTTCTACAACTTCAATCATAAATGTAACAACGTCAATTGAGTAGCACTAAATTCATAGAACCTTGTGTGTATCACTTTCCTTAGAAGTAAGCAACAATGTTGGATTGGCGTGCGGAATGTTCGCTCCAAGGTAAATTACAATTCATCCTCTGACTGAGGGTAGTAAGAGATAAATATTCCCAACCATCTTTAATTCTCTTTAACGCGTTTGTGCAGGCAACAAGGTTACCAGTTCAAGGTTTTTTCTACCCATGGACCCTTTTTCTGACCTCCCATCACTTCTCTGACTTTTATAATTGCGTGCTGTCTCACTTCGGTCTGTTTCGCTTCTCACCCTATCCATCCTTCTGCCATTCTGCCGTTGATCTTCCATCTTCTCAAATCTTCCGCCTGTCTGTGTTTCTTGTTTCCGCAGTAACGCCTGACTGTTTTTCTCTAGATGCAATGTTTCGGGCCTCGCGGACTCCAAATGAAATGTTTTGAGGCAATGTTCCATTAGTGAATTGGAGCTCAGAACCTGGTGTTGTGTGTCGGAAAGTGTAGTCACGTTTGTTGGTATCGCCTCATGATATCTCTGATGATCATTGATCCAATACTGGCCGGCTGATTCGTGAGGTTTCTCTGATAGTTTCCTCGTGATCACAATTCTCTCCGTATCTGAGTACCCTGTAGATCCCATCTTGTCAGACCCTGCCAGTCTTGTCTGTTGTTCTCTTACAGAGAGAACAGACAAGTTGTCCTGAGTAGGCTTCTCAATAGTAAGTAAGAGTTTCTGTTCGCTGTGGTTTACACTACTAGGAGGACTATCGATCACCAAGGTTGGCTCCTCAAACTTCTCTTCAAAATCCTGTGTAGAGAGGTAGCAGCGGTAGATCTTGTCGTACGCCAAACAGAGTGTGATGAGAAAGATGCAGCCTAATACTGGACCATATACAAACCAGTTGTGATTTTCAAGTATGCCGATGTTCCTGACACTACTGAGATCTCCAGTGTTTTGCTGCACTTGTTCTATCTGAGGTTTACCCCGTCCTCCACCCCTTCCTCCTGTCGCCCCTTTACTCCGCACGCATCCCACTAGTATACAGACTAGAACACTCTTTGTCAATCTACTCGTCATAATACTGTCAGGTGGAGATCGGTTATCAGTTTTGCAATACGATAAGCTTTGAATAAAACTCCTTAAAATAGTCCCTAATACTATAAAGACAAATATTCTTATGGTTTTAAAAAATTATTAGAAATGAATGATCTGCAGACCAGATTAAAAAAGGCGATTTTCCAACTATTTTGTCTAAAACCAATGAAAAACGTAACATATACCAAAATACTGAGCTTTGCACCCGATCTTTGGTAGTATAGGTGGAGACCTCCATCATAAGTGATCAACATGGAGATGCAGGGATTGGATTAGCCACCACTAATTGCCACTAATAAATATCACCAGTCATCAAGAATGTAATCTGAATGACGCCGAACGCTCGCGATTCTAAACGGCATGTAGCAAGAAATACGACAAGGGAAAATCAGTATCGAAAGCTGACCGTGGAATTTAATTTAGTCGGACGCTCTTCTGGTCATTCATCGTTAATTCGGAATCCGGTGTGTGTATCAGCAAGCGTCAATGAAATACTGGTGAACGGTCTGTGAAATTAGTTTTACGGTCGACGAAAATAAACAAACAGGCTTTATAAACTAAATACCGACAGGGATGAGGTGGCATCTTAAAAATCTGGCAATGTGCCAGAATGTTAATTTAACAGATTTATAAAATTCTTTTAATGTACGAAATGAAATGGGGTATCTGTATCCAATTCTGGACATTTGTTCAGATAAATGAAATTTGAAAACGCCATTGCAAATAATTTTCAAAAATAAAACATACGATCATAATATTTGTCCAGTGATTTTTAGCAAGCAAAACATTTTCATAATGAATACTCAACGGCAACTCTATTCATTGAGCCCAGTTTTTAAATTAACCCTCAGGATGAAAACACGTTCTCAGAGCTGCGTGCCACCCTGTAGCTTTGTATGTTGTTAAGTCGTACTCCCCATATAGAAAACATTCTGTCGTATACCAGGTCAGGGGACCAATCACTATAGCCTGACACCTGACAAATGAAACAGGAAGTTAGGAATGTAGGCATTGTCTATTCCAACCGGATATTATCCAACTATCAGTATTTCAATCATGAGACTAATAAACAGCGAATTACTCTATCATTTGATATTACTATAGCCTGACACCTGAACAAGACGAATCACTAATACAGGGGGGGAGACAGCTTATATATCTCACATGAAGAAACTATCGGAGGATATTATACATAATATTAATACGTTGGAAAATTAATGGACCAAAGTAATGTTTAAATTTTATAAGCAGGAGTTAAGTATCTACTATCTAGTTCCTGAACGTACCTGTCAGTAGCGATACACAGTTCCTTGCACGCTTCATCAGACGAGTATTTAACACGTGATAATATAATCCCAGTTGCAGATAAGTTAGGTTTTAAACATCGTTCTGTTGGGGATTATAGGTTAGAAGAGCTTTTTATCGCATCGAAAGTTATCCATCCCAACCGAAAATACAGCCGATTTAAATGTAAAACACACGTTCCCGACACCGTAATAACTACAAATCCGATCATAATGCCCATTCAATAATCTTTGTACGTGCACGTGCTCGTTTCCATCGTCATACGTACGAGCAAAGAGACACTTTCGAATTATAAGTTAGAAAGTAATAAGATCTATGAAGTACCCTCTGTGAAGGCAGGATGGAAGCAAATTCTAGCTGCTGTGTGCCACCCGTCAGCCTTGTCAGTAGTTAGTGCGTAATCCCCGACTATAAAGCACTCTGTCCAGTACAAAGACAATGGACTAGTGACTGCAGCCTGACACCTGGGAAATAAAATCAAAGATTGGACGATATGAAGATTGAATTTGAACTGCTTTGATATAGAAGTATCAATAGTCAAATTATTACTAACAGTGCGAGTAAACTGTAGAATATAGATTCTCTATTCGCGGCGCCGTCCATAAATAGAAGTGGTTCTCGTGATGAGAAGATCTGGATACTGCAATAAAAAGTCTCCTGATATTCGAATGAATAATGAAATGGATTTCCAATAAGACATAATATAAGTACACGTTAAACTTGATAATATATACCAAATCAGTTTCTAGTCTGGTCACGTTTCTTTCATATTCTCACTCAAATATCGTCAAATATCAAATATCGTCTACATATTTTTGTCTTTGCGATATCATTCTACATTCTACTATTCTATTGAAGAATACCTATAAATACCAGCAAATCACGTGGAGATACAAAATTACAAATCAACACTGATCTTTACATGAGATATTTTCTATTGCTTGATCAAAGAGTTATAGATGTTGTCGTCCGCTCCACAAAATAAAGTTTCGGCACCACAACCCACTTCCTGACCAGGCTGACTAACTATCAGATCCTCTCCGGAGCACTCCATTCCACTCCGCTGATTGATTTCCACATCACCTTCAACAACATATGCTACTGTTGCTGCACTCTTGTCATCTTTCCCTCTGTTCAGTTTCTGAGATACCAAGACGATGCCAAGAGTTAGTGACACCAGTGCCAAGAAACCCGAAGTGGAGATGAGAACAAGGCCTGAAATGAGGCTTAGTGAAATTGAACTGCAGAACCCCTCCCCATCATCGTTCCAACTCCACGATTTCCCGAAAGGGCAAGAGCAGATAGTTTTCTCCGTATCAGTGTGAGAACTGTGTGGACAAAGCAGACACTGGAGAGCACCTGGAGGACTAACAGAACCTTTGGCACAACCATCACAACGAGTATAGTTCCAGAACTTACCAGCACTGCATAAACAGTGGCCAGAACCTGCATTTGAAGTAGAGTCCGGCGGACATGTTTGGCAGAATGCCATGGAGTCACTCTTAAAAGAACCTGGCTGACATGATTTACAAGAACCATTAGAGTACTCAACCCAATCCCACTTCTCACCTTCTAGACAAGAACAAGCTGCTCCTCCAGCCAGAACTATTGATCCCTTTGGACATGACACACATTCAAACGCTCCCGCATGACTTGTCATACCGTCCGAGCAGTTCTGGCAGGATGTTTCGTTCCAGAACATTCCTCCCCGGCAAGAGCAATGGTCGGAACCTAATGTTGACATAGTGCCCAGAGGACAACTGGAACAAGACTCCATTTGGTCACTCTTGTAGGTTCCTTGTAGACATGGTTCGCAAGATCCGTGACCGCTCTCATCCCACATCCAGGTCATGCCTCCGGGACAACCACAAGACCCTGCACCCAATGCCTCCCATCCAATAGGACATGATAGACATTGCGAGGCACCCTTTTGGCTGACAGTTCCTTCAAGACAGTCCTGACAAGCTGTCCCGTTCCAGTAGGAACCTACTGAGCATATGCAATGATTAGACCCCACTTGTGAAGATGTTCCTGGAGGACAGATTGTGCAAGATGTTTTGTTAGCGTTTTTATAGGTTCCTGATAAACATGGTTTACAAGAGCCTTGCTGGTCAGTCCAACTCCATTCCATGCCGTCTGGGCAGCTGCATGATGTACTTTGGTTGGTAATATTGGAACCTGAAGGGCAGGCCATACACTGAAGGGAGCCCTCCTGACTTACAAAACCTTGGGCACAACTCTCACATTGAGACACTGTCTCGTTCCAAAACATGCCAGCATTGCAGGAGCAATAA